GAGGAGGGAGGCCTGAGGGGAATGGCGCCTGCCCCTGGGGGAGAGACCTGGAGAGGGGTACAGGGGGAATGGCGCCTTCTCCTTGCGTAGAGACCGGGATGGGGGCACAGGGGCAATGGCGCCTGGCCCTGGGGCAGAGACCGGGATGGGGGTACAGGGGCAATGGCGCCTGGCCCTGGGGTAGAGACCGGGATGGGGGTACAGGGGCAATGGCGCCTGGCCCTGGGGTAGAGACCGGGATGGGGGTACAGGGGCAATGGCGCCTGGCCCTGGGGTAGAGACCGGGATGGGGGTACAGGGGCAATGGCGCCTTCCCCTCGGGTAGCGACTGGGAGAGAGGTACAAGGGGAAATGGCACGTTCCCCTCAGCAAGAGAGCGGGACAGGTCCGTGGCCTGTGGGGCAGGGAGAACACGGAAGGGGAGCCCAGCTCTCCATACCCACAACGCCAGTGCGTCGTGAGCCTAAGGCGGGGGACGGCAGGGATGGCAGCGGCTGGCAGGGATGGTGGCAGCTGGCGGGGATGTCGGCGGCATGCTGGGATGAGAGTTGTGCCATGGCTCTGTCAGACACCGGGTGCCTCCTCCTCTGCATGGCGTCAGGAGGGTCCCAAGCCCTCATCCCCGGCTGCTGGGGCACGGCAGATGCAAACTCCCAGCCTGGGCATTGCATTCATGCGAAACAGCAACGCCTCTTAGCCAGAATGGGTAATCCAGGGAGACTGGATTAGTCCTGTCATCCAGGGAGTCTGCTTTTCACATAAAATGTGGTGTTATGTCGCTCTGATTTTAACAGACTGTTACGTGATAGTAAGTCAAGAGCACATAGATGCCATTACTCCTTAGCAATTCCCTTTATCATCCAAGCTTGTAGCCTCGAAGAATGAATCCAGGTTTCTTTGAGTCATCTCCCGCAGGCTGGCGTTGCAGAATTAAGGGAAAGGAATTTACTTTTTAATAAATTGAACCTCTTACCAGTGGTTTCACCAGGTTGCATTTGCTATGTTGCCTGAGATTGGGGCTTAATCTTCCTCTCTGAAATACTGGCACAGTGTTAGCACTCTGAGGCATTTCTCCAGTTCCAAGATGTATTAGAAGTCACCATCGGCAGGGTGGAGGTCTCCTCAACCCAAACTCTGTTGGTCTCCTGAGCGCAAGTTACAGAGACTGACCAATTTAGGAAATCTATAGCCATATTAGATGTCTTCTAACACCTTTCTTGGCTTCTTCATTCAGGAGGGATATTGCACGTATCCATGGAGTAACTGATAGAGCCGCTGCACCCATAGACTATTGCAGATCCTCGGAAAAAGGTCAAGGTCACTTGTGGATACCTGTTATTGAGCTCTTATCCTGCAACTGGATCTCCAAAGATGGTCTTACTCTTTTTCTGAGCTGTAATTTGCAGCCTTACTCATAACGAACAGGAACACCAGCTGTATTAAATACCATCTAAGGGCAAACTGATATCAAAGCAAACAAAACGTGAACTTCATTCCTAAGTGCAGGGTTCATATTGTTACTCACCTACTTGAATGGCTTGGGGGTATAAGGAGCTTTCATAATTCTGGATAGAACTGAATAGATCATAGACCGTGCACGGTTACACTAAATTGAAAATGATTTCACACGGTGTATATAAATTGAATTGAGTTGTAGGTTTGTTTACTTCCTTTTTACCATTTTATCAAAAATGCATCTTTCAATAACGGCTGCATGAACAAACCTGCAATATGAAGCCATCAATTCTAGGACAGCACAAATACTTGCTTAGGTCTGACATATTTAATGGCAACATGTAGACAAAATGATTTTAAAGGTACCTTTGGTTTAGGTTACCCAATTTACTAGATATCTGTACATGTTTTTATCTTTAAAAAATGATTCAGCCTATGAGGTCCATGCTGTTTTTTCCTTCTTGACATATTGGTAATGGATTATTATTGTGCAGGTTTTGGATGAAACCTTGAAATCTAGGTTTTGTCTGCTCTTTGTGGAACTTCTCACACCGACAGAGGCTTGTCTGAGTGTCACAACCAGCACATTTCCAGTTTCCCGCTGTATTTTGTGCTCTTGGCTTTCTTAGACCGGGTAGCAGCCACGCTGCGCTTGGTCCAGAGGGTCTCCTGCACACCAGCAGCATGGATGGGCGACTTGGAAGAAGAGGTCTGGCACCACACAAAGCTTTTTCTCAGGAGCTATGTAAATTGCCCGGACTTGAAATGCAGCCGGAGAGATTCCTTTCCATATTTCTATATCCGTGAGAGGATGTATTTTACTTTATCAGATGTGGTGCCTTATTCTGCTGTAAATATCTGATGTCTCTGACAGGCTGTTAGCGACATCATTCAGTGATTCAGCTTGGGACATGTTTATTATCTTGCATTATATTAAATTGTTCGGTGCGATCCCTTTGAAAATCAGTCATCGTCTGTCTAATTGGCTGATTTCAGTCACTCATAAATCATTAGTAATAATTTTCGGCACTGTTAAAGAATAGTATTAGAAAACGGTAGAGATGTCTCTTTCAACGCCTTTGGGTGGAATTTTGCATTGCTACTTTGAGCTCTTGAATTGGTGTAATTCCAGTGCCCTCGTTTAAAATATCACTTATTGCGGTTGAGAAGAGAGGAAGAGTACTTCTGATATCCCTGGGACGGGCAGAGACACTTCATGTAGCGAAAGGTGTGTTGGTCTCCCCTTCAGGGCTTTTATGTGCCAGGCAGCACGCTGTGTCCTTTATCTCACAGCGTGCCCGGGGCTGTGATTTTGGGGCAGAGTATGGTGTGGAGGGCAGGACACATATGGCATTGGCGACTGGGGCTCTGCTGTGGGGAGCGGGATGTCCTGGCATGCGATTAAGGAGTGGGGATGGGTGATAGTCCCCGAGGAGAAACTAAAAGAAAGGGAGAGCGTGGTGGAATGGGGTGGGAGAGCGGGAGGGAAAAGGGTTTCCTTGGAACCACGTCAGTTCTGGAGATGATGGGCTCATTGTGCTACCACTCTTATATTACCATAAGAGAGTGTCTCAAAGTGAAGTGAAGGCCTTTTGTTGACTTGTCCTGGCATGAAGAAATTAACCCAAAATAGATCTAAAACATCACTGGCATCATAATAGTTAATGGAGATTCTGAGAGCATTGATCCAAAACTGATGTCTACCTTTGGGATTTAAATGGATGGTGCTTCCATTACGGCAAGCTCAGCTGAGTTAGGCAATGACAGATATTGATGAGATAACAAGTTTGCTGTATCGACGCTGACCGAGAGTGCTCTCTGATATAACTCATCTAACACCGGACTAAAACCCTGGTTTACAAAGTGTCCACTAAGCCAGAGATGAAGTACTGAAAGCTTTTGGTGCTGGTTTTAAGGGAATCGCACCTTTGTGTGTTGGTGATGCTGAACATCAACCTGCTGTAGACTTGGGCCTGCAAAATGTGTGATAGGAGGATAAAGTCATCACTCATTGGGAGGGGAAGCACGATTTCCCCCAGTGTTAGTGACGGCAGATAAGGTCTTCCAGCCTATGCCTCGCAGCAGCCCTAAACCCAGATCTCTCATCCCTCTCCCGACAGCTGTAGCAGGCACCGTGTTTGGAGTCAGAAGAAATACATAACAGCTGCTGTTTTAGCTTCTGCGTTGCTGCTTTTTAATTAAATGCTGCAAGTATGTGCCGTGGGCTGGAGGCTGAGATTCAAAAGCATCTTTCCAGTCCTCTTAAAAACAACCCGATCAGCAGCCTTTGAATACAGTATGCACCTCAGCATCTCGTAACGACTGCATCCCACGCCGCCAAGCTAGCTCACGCACTTTTGCACCCCTGCTCGGTGTGCTTCTGCCCTTCGATACCTACAGGCAGGCAAGACTGGCTGGGGGCACTTGCAAGGAGCTCTCTTTTTTTTTTTTGAGAAGTGCCCTTCAAATGTATTTCCCTCTTC